AGTGGCACGTGCTTGCGTTGCAGTGGCACGTGCTTGCGTTGCAGTGGCACGTGCTTGCGTTGCAGTGGCACGTGCTTGCGTTGAAGTGGCCGTGCTTGGGTTGCAGTGGCACGTGCTTGCGTTGCAGTGGCACGTGCTTGCGTTGCAGTGGCACGTGCTTGCGTTGCAGTGGCACGTGCTTGCGTTGCAGTGGCACGTGCTTGGGTTGCAGTGGCAAGTGCTTGCGTTGCAGTGGCACGTGCTTGCGTTGCAGTGGCACGTGCTTGCGTTGCAGTGGCACGTGCTTGCGTTGCAGTGGCACGTGCTTGCGTTGCAGTGGCACGTGCTTGCGTTGCAGTGGCACGTGCTTGCGTTGCAGTGGCACGTGCTTGTGTTGCAGTGGCACGTGCTTGCGTTGCTGTGGCACGTGCTTGTGTTGCAGTGGCACGTGCTTGCGTTGCAGTGGCACGAGCCGTGTTGAGCTACTCTTGTGTGGAGCTCATTTTCGCGAACACAAACCCATCTTTCCTTCCTCCTGTTCACGGCTCGACGCGCGGTGACACGAAAAGTTAAGGGCGCTGCGTCTCACTGATGTGCACTGGGAGGGGCTGGAGGTGTTTAAGGGGATCCTTGCCCCCTTCAACGCCCCCGCAGAAAGGTCGTTAAACCGTATGACCTCCACGGTCATTTCCTGCTGCAACGACCTCCTCGGCAGCTCAAAGCGCAGGCGCCGTGGCAGGCAGCCCATCTGAGCTGCTGATGGAGATGACTGCTGTGGCACTGAGAAGTACACGAGCTGCCAATAGCCACGTGCCTGGACCCGACTATGCGGGAGAGGTACTTCTCGGAGTTCGTTTGACTGAAAGGGGGAAACGGGGGTGTCAAGCGAGGGGTCCGGTGACGAAAGAGGAGACTCTGCAACTGGTTCGGGCACGGGTGGAGGCAAATAGACACGCGCAGCAGGAATGGCGCCTGCCCGTCTGTTCCAGTCAAGATTCAAAAATACGTTTTTTTTTTTTTTTTTTCCCCGTAAATTAAGGTCTTTTTCCGGTAATTTTTCAATAATACGGCGTTTTTTTGTTAGGGAACTCTTGTCACGAATAAAAAAAAGGCAAAATCAAGGTCGAATACATTTTCAATCATGCACACACATGCATACATGCAAGAAGGGGTTCGTCCTCTTCATCCAATTTGGTCCCTTTAAATGGCCAATTTTTTCTTCAAACGTTACCTTCTGGAACCGTTTTTTACGGCCGTTTCTTACGGTACCGTTTTTTACGGTAAATAAATAAATAAATAAACGACGTTTTTTTTTTAACCTTGGTTCCAGTGTTGACCTAGGTGATCGCGACAGGCATCGTCCTTGAGGGGGAGGAGCACATAGGGAGCAGACGCCGTTTGATAGCACGCGTTTCCACTTCTAGGGCTGTTGGGGATCTAGACTGTCGGGTGATGAGGTGGACAGATTTGTGGAAGGCACCAATGTTACAGACGTAACCCCCTCTGAGTTCTAGCGCACTGCGAAGAACCTCGCACTTTGAGAGAAAGGCGAGAGATTATTTGGGGATCCCCCCTATCACTGCGGTGTGCGAGCGCGTGCTCTTGCAAAGAAAGAACTTCATCACGTGGCAGCGCCATCGAATGGACACCGAGTGTGTACGTTCATGCATGACCCTCAGCATCCCGGTGCATGACCCTCAGGTCGTGGTATGCAATGCACCCCGGTGTTGTTTGATCTGTTGACCTTGTTTGAGTTTATCTTGACTTGGCGACTCCTTGCTTCTTTATGGAATGTTTAGTTGTTTCATGCTTGTCTTTCAAAAATCGTTACCCACTAGCTGACACACCAAGTATATCTTCATGTCTACCTTCGAGTCAGATTGGAGAAAGCATGAACTAGGCATGAGCAAGGTAACGAACCAGTTGTTATGCCCTTAAAAAACCGAACTGGTTCGTTACCAGACTGAACCGGTTCGTGAATGAACGGGTTTCGTATGGAGCGGATTCGTGGTTAGTTAAAAGAGCCAACGAACCGAGCCGCTTCGTTCGTTTTTCCAGTAAACGTTCAGAGTGGTTTTATCAGCTGGAAAAGTAACCGTGGGAAACACACTAATGTTAGGTGGAAGGGAGATTGTGAGACTACGAAAGAGTTAAAGCTCGAAATGGGCTCCAACACTCTGGGCTATATTCAATTCCACAAGACCTGTGACAGTTTATCGTGGCTCGGTTGGTTGAGAACGATATAATATATATATATATATATATATATATATATCTCGATTTGGGGAAAACCGAACCGAAGCATGGACTCACGTCATAACATCAACCAGAATGCTGCCCTGCACATGGTGATGCAGGTAGTGGTGTTGCATGTCCTTGTAGTGTTGGATGCTGAGCGATGAAATTAACACCCCCATCTTCTTGTTTGAGGACTTGCTGCTTGGCGTTGAGGGGGCATCCTGGGAGGCAAAAAGCAGCGGCACAGCAACAAGTGCAGACAGAAGACATGCAACTGATTTACTAGACCAGCCTACAAGTCACCCGTGACTTCTCGGTTAAGGAGTTGTGTGATGGCGTCCAGTCCAGGGGGCATCATGGTGGTGAGTTCCAAACGGCAGAAGGTATGTGGACAGACGGAGAGAATCGCTGATCTAAACGGCACGGTGGTGGGAGTGGGGGAAGAAAAAATGTGGGGACTTACTGCTGGGTGAGTGGGCGGCAGGTAGTGGGAGATGTTGATAGCGCAGTCGAGCACACGATGCGCCACTGGCAAGTCGATTGCAAAGGGCGACCGAATCTGAGGTGCAAGGCACCAGTAGTTTGTGTGTGGGGGGGGGGAGGGGGAGGGGGGGAAGAGGAGGGGGTGGGGTTGGGGTTTTGTGTGGGTGTGTGATGATGTCAGAAATATATTCAATGAATGCTACAAGTGTGATGGTGTATGCAACCTACATATTGAATGACTGCTTATCAAGCATACATGGACTTGGGTGCCCTTCATGGTCTGGTCTGCACACGAACATACAGGCATGCGATCGTGTATGATGTGACCTCAAGGTTCATATCATGTCTGAGCCATATTCCAAACATTCATCGTGGTGCAGATGCTTGCAGGAAATCCCAAGAATCAAGTCATGTTCTCACATAGGGACACCACTGGACATTTCCACATGTGATTTGAAATGTTGTAAAATGCTAATCTGTGTTTACCCCACTCAGTTCGAAAAACTCCGTCGCGGAAAGCTTGAAAAGACTGTCCAAAGCTTGCTCAGCGCATGAGGTATTTCGGACTCGCTATCTTGTACATTTAGATTCCCCTTTGGCATGGCAGACGATGTAGGTTATCATGAGGCAAGCATGGCTCGCCTAAAACCAGGGACTCGAGGGGTGATGCGGGTTGAAATGGTAAGCAGATTCTGCCACTAGCGATTGTGAGGCGAATTTTACAAATATCTTCTGCATGCGATTCTCACCTGAATGCCCAGGCGGTGCGAGAAGTGGGCGAGGTTGGTGTGGAAGAGGGCAGTGATGATGCCCCATAGCTGGTTGTCGGGGTGCAGCAGGTAGCGTGCCACGTGTGTGTACGCACGGCCGCCTGGAAAGAGCTCGTTCAGGCGTGCCTGTGGAGTGGATGGTGGGAGGAAGCATAATAAGAGAGGGAAGCGCACACGCTGTTTGTTTGCCTGCAACGGGAATGGACGCAAGGCTGGGTGGGTGGGAGGGATACCCAACAATAGCGCATTGCTTGATTTCATACTGATCAGGCCCAGTGGAACAATCAAATCATAGCTCATTGCTCATTGCTCGTTGCTCCTTGGTGTATGAATGAAGGCGGGGACATCGTGGCAGGAGCAACGGCTTGACCTTTTCATAACTCTTAGGTAAATGTGGCAGGAGGAATGGCTTGATTCGGAGCGCAGTAGAGAAGGGGCATGGAGGGACAAAGAGGAGGCTCACAGCGAAGGAGGGACGTAGTAGAGGGAGGGCACGAAGTAGGCATCGATGCTGGCCTGTCAGAAGAAAACAGGTGGGCTGCAGAGGCCTAACTTCCATCAACCCAGTGGGTAGGTCATAAGAGACTTGCTCACAGCGAAGGAGGGGATGTAGTAGAGGGAGGGCACGAAGTAGGCATCGATCTTGGCGAACCAGAAGTGCGCCACATCCATGACGTCCCACAGCTGGTCGCAGAACTCCGCCTGCACCCTGCATGCACGCACGCATGGGTGTGGGGCATGGCACGAAAATGGCAGAATTCGAGATGACGTCCCACAACTGGTCACAGAACTCCGCCCGCACCCTGCATGCATGCATGCATGCATGCATGGGATGCAATATGGCAATCAATATGGTTGCAGAACTACAAGCACATCCTGCACACGTGGTGGTGGATTGAGGACGTGGTAAAAGAGTGCCCATTTTTTAGGATCATGATTGTGTACCGATTCCCACATTCGAATTTGGCGATTGTAACGATCGCCAAGACCAGACGAGCTTCATGTACCGCGTTGGCGCGTAGCGACATAAGAGGCTGTTGCACATGACGACGCAGCAACCAGATTTGCGAAATCTCGACCAGGCAGATAAACAGTGCAGATAAACCCAAGCATTGCGAAATGAAACTGCGCCGCATATTCGTAATAGATTGTCTCTGTTGTGACCAGTTCGTGCATTTTTGTGCTTTGACAGAATCGCGATCGACCACTTCAGTCTTGACGATCAATCGCGAAATTGTGCACAAGCTTCGACATGCATAAAGTGGGTACTGCAGTAGGGTAAAACGGGTAACCAATCCGTACATCGATCGCAGCTGGCGATCAATTGTCAACTTTTACCACGCACTCAGCGTGCCTGCACATACGTGGCGATGGCAGGGTTGAGCATGGTGTGGGAAGGATGAGCGAGAGAGAGGAGCTGCAGAGATGAATTTGCAGTAATGTGCACTGCATGCCATGGTGCGATGTGCACTGCATGCCATGGTGCGATGTGCACTGCATGCCATGGTGCGATGTGCACTCGACAATGTATCAATGCATGTCCAGACAGACAGGTGCCCACCGGTGGTACTTGTCGAGAACAACAGTGCCATCGTCCTGCACGCGCCTCCTCATGTCGTCAAGCACCCCATCGCCCTGCGTGTACAGCTCCTTGGCAAGTACAGTCATCTGCAGATTGAACTTATGCAGTATTGTCGACAGTAGCAGCCTGCACAAGGTGGGGGGGAGGGGAGAGGGGGGGGGGAGGGGAAGGAGAGGGCGTGGGGTTGGGGGGGGGAAAGGGGGAGGAAGGTGAGAGGTGGGGAGAGGGAGCATAGGAGGAGAGGCAGGAAGGTGCGAGCTGGGAGGAAGGACTGTGAGTGAGTGTGCGATGTGATCGATCTCTTATCGAAAACCCGCCTTCCTGGAATCGCACAGTGAGCGACTAATCAGCACACGAGGTTCTCATTGCAAAACCACAGTGGTCTGCAACCCGTTGCTGTGCAACCCGTTGATGTGTGACCCGCTGATTGCGGTGCGAGTGGCTGATGCAGCCCGCCGCTGCGTGTCGTGCACTGCAATGGAGGGTATTATAGGCGGCAGTCGGCCACTGACCTATGGCTGTGCGACCTGCCTTGCACTGGTGGGCCTACTGGTCTGTTAAGGGAGAGACGGTCCATGAGGTGTTGGCGTGGGCGAAGGGGTTGCAGAAGCGGCGAGTGAGGAAGGCACGAGGCGGTGCGATGATGGCTCGATGGGTGAGAAGACCCAAGATGAACGACACCACGTATGCTGTGATCCTGTTGCCCAACCCTGCACATATCAAATCAGATAGAGACAGATCACAATGGAGGCGAGGCCATGCTAGCGGGTTGAGGACTGGAGAGGGAGGTGCTATCTAGCAGAGAGGTTGAGGGGCAGGGAGGTGTTATCTGACAGCAAGGCTGAGGATTGAAGAGGTGCTACCTGGCAGCAAGGTGGGGGTTCATTCATTCATAGACACATAGACTGATGTAGGCCATGCACGAGATCAGTAGCAGCATACCCCTAGGTATATCGTGAATTCCAATATAGCGACATTGCTTCCTGTCGCGGCCATAGCGAGGGATGGTCTCGTTCCTGGTAACTCACGAAGGATGGATTGGGAATTAGGGGGAGAAGTGAAGGAACACAGGAAAAAAAATCAGACAAACAAAAGAACAGTGGAGGTGTCGTAATGCATGGACAATTGTCTTCATCATAATTTGCACCCTGTGAATGTTGGGTGTAGGGGGAGTTTGAAGTAAACGAAAGGTACATAAGCAGATAGACAAAGATGGTGATGATGGCCATGGTGGGCCCTTATCAAACCACGTGCCCATCCCACACCACGTGTCCTTATCACAGCACGCGCCTTTATCACACCACTTGCCCTCCTTATCACACCATGTGCCCTCATCACACCACGTGCCTTTATCACACCACGTGCTCACACCACGCCACGCGCCCTTGTCACAACACATGTCCTCCTTATCACACCACATGGCCTCCTTATCACACCACGTGTCCTCCTTATCACACCACGTGCCCTCCTTATCACACCACGTGCCCTTATCACACCACATGCCCTTATCACACCACGTGCCCTTATCACATCGCGTGCCCTTATCACACCACGTGTGTCGTGCCCTTATCACACCACGTGCCCTTATCACACCACGTGTCCCCATCATACCAGGTGGCCTTGTCTTTGACCCATTCCCAGCTCTCGTCGTCTAGGAACCCTACACACTCCCTCTGCATTGCTTCAAACTCCTTCACTGCAGCTGTGAACGCTGCTGATGGAGGGGACTGGTAAGCCTGGATAGGATTTGGATCGGGTTGGAGAAGATGATTAGATTCGATTTGATGTTGAACTCTCTACTCGTCCAAGTCCGTGCCACCAACCGCACCACCAACCGCCGCACAATGCTTCTCTTCAATGCTGTGTGCTACAGATGTTCCTCCCTCCCACCCCACCCCCTCCTTCAACACGCTGTGTGCTACACGTACTCAATTCTCATACATCATACCATGTGCTACAGGTGCCACTCACACATCACATGCACTACAGGAGCCACTCACACATCACATGGGCTACAGATGCTCCGCCCCCCACCCCCATACCATGCGCTACAAATCCTCCTCCCCTACCTCTCCCCCCACCCCCTCCCTTTCCCCCAATAGAATGTGATACAGCCTCCCACGCCATAATGTGTGCTACAAATACCCTCCCACAGCACAGCATACCGTGTGGTACAGGTGTCGCTCCTGCTGGCTCCAGCACGAGTTAGCCGTGCGGTGCTGTACATGGCGCCATGCTGCAGATGCATCGAACCTGGACGGTGGATTCGGAAGCTGAAACCCCTGCCCACCAGTGCTGCCATTGCCTGCGAAGCCCTTTCCACTGTCATGATTGTGGCTGTGACCACCGTCAGAGTCACTATAACGGGTGGCGTTATAACGAGTAGTATCATTGTGACCACCGTCAAAGTCACTATACTGGGTGGCGTTATAACGAGTAGCATCATGGTGACCACCGTCAGAGTCAATATAACGGGTGGCGTTATAACAAGTAATATCATTGTGACCACTGTCAGAGTCACTATAACGAGTAGCATCATTGTGACCACCATCAGAGTCAGTGAGTGCAGCAGGGCTGTCAGGGGTAGGCTCCAGGGAGGAGAGGGTCCCTGCTGGGAGCACCGTCAGCAGCAGAGACGTCTGGGCGTGAAAACACGAGGAGGGGGGAGGGAAGGGAGAGGGGGTGGCGGGGGAGGAAGGGGCGAGGGGAGGGGAAGGCAGGACGGGGGTTTGGAAGGAGCGAGTTGAGAGGCATGTAGGGACTAGCCACAACTGTCAAGAATGCTCTTTCTGGGAGAAGGACGTTTTGGTTCTGTCAGGATCGTCGTTTTTTGTGCTGTGTTGTTCAATTCTAAGTTCGCCTGCCGCTGACCTAAATTTGAACGCAAACTCGTTAAAAGGACGGAGGCCGGGCAGCATCATAGCACAATTGGGGATGGTGCTTGGCGCGCAAAGCCTCCAGCACAGTTGGGGATGGTGTGCAGAGTGGCGTGGATTTTAGGGCCATTACAGCCCGTCGTAAGCTGCCACGTCGCGCCAACAACTCAGCTATTCAAGAACACCAGTATCGCCAGGCTGGTGTCTGGGTGGCTGGGGGCTCAACAATGAGTCCACGGTGTCACTGTAGAGCTGGTCTGACTCTCCCACCGTGGGCTCATTGTCTTGCACCTGAACGAACCGAAATTTTGTCTTACTCTCTTTCTTTCTTGCTAGAAGCATTCTCTAGCACTGCAGCCTTTCCTAACCATGAGTGGCGACCACTCATTGCTCTCGACAAGTACCACCGTCGGGCACCTGTTTGTCTGGACCTGCGTTGCAACATTAAGTGCACAACACACCGCACATCGCACCATGGCATGCAATGCACATCGCACTATGGCATGCAGTGTACATTTCTGCAAATTCATCTCTGCAGCTCTCTCTCTCGCTCATCCTACCCACACCATGACATGGCAGGTTGAGGTCGTTTGGATTGGAGAGCCTTGTCATTCGGGCGAACCGAATAGGCGTTCTAAAAATTGCTCATGTCTACATGCATGCATGCAGAGTGCAGGCGGAATATTGAATGCCACATCACATCCCACACGCCCATGCATGCGTGCGCAGGGTGCGCTCAGAGTTCTGCGACCAGCTGTGGGACGTGATGGATGCGGCGCGCTTCTGGTTCGCCAAGATCGATGCCTACTTCGTGCCCTCCCTCTACTACGTCCCATCCTTCGCTGTGAGCCTCCTCTTTGTCCCTCCATGCCCCTTTTCCAATGCGCTCCTGATCAAGCCATGTCTCCTGCCACATTTACCAAAGAGATATCAAAAGGTCAGGCCATTGCTCCTGCCACGATGTCGCCTCCTTCATTTTTACAACCAGTCAGCAACTAGCAATGTGCAATAACTGGATCGTTCCTCTGGGCCAGGTCAGTATCAAGCAATGCTCTATTGCCCGGCAAAGAAACAGGCGTGTGTGCTTCCTTCTCTTCTTTTGCTTCTCCCACTCCACAGGCACGGCTGAACGAGCTCTTTCCAGACGGCCGCATCTACACACACGTGGCACGCTACCTGCTGCACCCTGACAACCAGCTGTGGAGCATTAGCATTGCCGTCTTCCACACCAACCTCGCACACTTCTCACACCGCCTGGGCATTCAGGTGAGAATTGCATGCAGAAGATATTTGTGAGAGTTCTCTTAGTCGAATTCGACTGAATAGTGATAAGTTGAGTTCAGGGATCATGTGTGAGGATTCGTGTTTGGAGTGGACAGAATTGGCGCTGCAATCCATAATCACTTCCACTATTTTTCCGGCTGTAGGATGTAGGGTAGACACAAGCAAAGTACTCGCCTCGTCACTAGCCGAGTGTTGCCCCACCTGTTAGTAACAGGCTGTTACTTGTCAGGTTAAATGAGCTGTACAGATACATGGCCGAGTTTCAAAAAATCTCGTTTGAGGGCGAGTATAACTCGCCTCATAGTCTTTGGTGGCAGAATTTCAAGCCCGCAACACCCCTCGAGTCTCTGGATTTAGGTGAGACATGCTTGCGTCACGACATGCTTGCCGCATCATCTGCTGCCAACAGCAATTATCATTGTAGAAGAGAGCGAGTCTGAACTGAAATACCTCGCGCGCCGAGCAAGCGTTGGACGAGCTAAGAAGAACTCAGTTCGCCACGGTCGAGTTTCTCGACCGAGTCCAGCACTCGTAACGTGCAATGTGACTAGTGCTGGGTACGAGCCGAGAGAACTCGCCTCAGTGCTCATGTATAATGTAGTATTCATGCACATTGTATGATGGGATGGGTCAAGGCTGCATGTTTGGTGCATGAAAGTATGATTGGCATTGTTTGTAAGGCTTGGAGGTTCCCAAATCCATAGATAGATTTCAGCACAACGATTTTGAAGTTTGTTCATGAACATGTCGCATATTGACACACACACACACACACACACACACACATACACACACACACACAAAAAAGGATGGTGGGATGAGATGTGAGTCTGATTGCCGTGGTGCAAAAACAAATTCGTGGGCAGCTGTGGAAACAAAATGCAGAAAACAAGTGTCAAATGAGATGTGTCTCAATCACCAGAAATGCCACAATTCCTAAGGTCGCACACTTGCAGGAGCAACAGCCATGGATTTATCAAGAGAATGAACGCATTATGTCCTAGGTTTAAACTGAGTGGGGAAACACAGATGAACTTTTGCAACATTTCAAATCACGTGCGGAAGTGTCCAATGGTGTCCCTACAAGAGAACGTGATTTGATTCTTGGAGTCTTGGCTTCGGGATTCCCTGCACGCATCTGCGACATGATGAACGTTTGGAATACGACAAAAAAAAAACACGCTTGGGACACATGATGAATTGACAACTTACCTTTTGAAACCCGTGATTCGACTTGACACATACGTTTCACATTGTGGTTCTTCATTCAGCCACTCAATTACTATATAACCTTGTTCACAGGGTCAGAGAGATAACCTTGTCATTTCGTGCAATCACTCTCACACATAAGGACAACAAACTGAGTACAAACCTCAGGGTCACATCATACATGATTGCATTCCTCCATATCTGCATGTTCGCGTGCTTGCAAGTTGCAACCCATCAAGTGCACCCAAGTCTATGTATGCTTGATAAGCAGTCATTCCATACGTAGGTTGCATACACCACCACACTTGTAGCATTCGATGAATATTATTCTGACATCATCACACACCCAACCACCCCCCTCCCTCCTCCCCCCCAATCCCCCCCCCTCCCCCTCCACCCCCCACACACAAACTACTGGTGCCTTGCACCTCAGATTCGGTCGCCCTTCGCAATCGACTTGCCAGTGGCGCATCGTGTGCTCGACTGCGCTATCAACATCTCCCACTACCTGCCGCCCACTGACCCAGCAGTAAGTCCCCACATTTTTTCTGCCCACATACCGTCTCCAGTTTAGAGCAACTGTGTTCTGTCATTCTGCCTTGGACGCCATCAAGCTGATGGGGGTGATTTGCAGATGGGGGTGATTTGCAGGCTGATGAATCAGTTGCATGTATTTTGTCTGCACTTGTTGACGCTGGTTCCTACTCCCAGGATGCCCCCTCAACGCCAAGCAGCAAGTCCTCAAACAAGAAGATGGGGGTGTTAATTTCATCGCTCAGCATCCAACATTACAAGGACATGCAGCACCACTACCTGCATCACCACGTGCAGGGCAACATTCTGGTTGATGTCATGACGTGAGTCCATGCTAGGCATGAGTAGGGCACCGAACCGCGGTTCGTTTCAATTTTCCCGCGAATCGAACCGATTTTTTTTTTTTTTTTTTTTTGGTGGTTCTGACGGTTTGTCAACAAACCGAACCGAATTGTCGATTCGATCATTCGCTTTGAACAAACCGAACCGCGATAAACAATCACAGGTCTTGCGGGTTCGAATATATCCCGGAGTGTTGGAGCTCATGTCGAGCTTTAACTCTCTCATAGTCTCACAGTTTCCATTCCACTTAACAATAGTGTGTCCTTTTTGGTTTCAGCTGATAAAACCACAGTGAAATTTTACTGGAGATACGAATGAACCGGCTGGGTTTGTTGGCTGTTCTAACGAACCACAAACCGGCTCCATATGAAACCCGTTTGCTCACGAACCGGTTCAGTTTGGTAACAAACCGGTCCAGTTTTTAAGGACATAACAACTAACCGGTACGGTTTGGTACCATGCTCGTGCCTACTCCATGCTTTCTCCAATCTTTCATGAAGGTAGACATGAGCTCGAACCGAACCCAAACAGGTTTGCGCAAAACTACATAAAACCTTTTCATCTGCCGGACCGATCCTATCCGGTTCGGCCTGATTTTATTATTATTATTATTATTATTAATGGATTTTTTTAATTCGAGTCTCGAGGCTTCACTGTCGAACCGATGATGTTCGGCCGAACTTCTAAATCTTTGATCAAACTTGAAAATAGTTCAGTTCAACATGCATTTACGTTACAGTTTCTTTTTGTTGCTCTTTTTTGCAACGGTTTTGAGGATGTACTTGTGTCAGCTAGTGGGTAACGGAATTTATGAGACAAGCACGAAACAACTAAAGAGTCCAGGAATCGCAAAGTCAACTTAAACCTAAATAACAAGGTCAGAAGACCAAACAACACAATATGAAGTGATCGTACATAAAAACCTTATATGTATGAGCACGATCGCATGAAAGGTGGTCCAGGCACCTAGCAACAACTACACAGCACCACCACCCGGGGCCATGCCCACACCATCAACCACAGCCACAGCCCCTGTCGCCTCCTCCTCCTCCTCCTCCTCCTCCTCCTCCTCCTCCTCCTCCTCCTCCTCCTCCTCCTCCTCCTCTTCCTCTTCCTCCTCCTCCTCTTCCTCCTCCTCCTCCTCCTCCTCCTCCTCCTCCTCCTCTTCCTCTTCCTCCTCCTCCTCTTCCTCCTCCTCCTCCTCCTCCTCCTCCTCCTCCTCCTCCTCCTCCTCCTCCTCCCCCTCCTCCTCCTCCTCCTCCTCCTCCTCCTCCTCCTCCTCCTCCTCCTCGTCCTCAGTCCACCTCCCCCTGCTGCCCCCCCCGCTGCTGCTGCACGGGCGGACTCTGCTTCATCACCGATCTGATCACCGGGGTGGGTCATGCATGAACGCAAACTCTCAGTGTTCAGTCGACCGCGTTGCCATGTGGTCAAGTTCTTTCTCAGCAAGAGCCAAGCTTGCAAGCCGCGATGGTGGCGGGGATTCCCAAATAATCTCTCGCCTTTCTCTCAATGTGCGAGGTTCTTCGCAGTGGGCTAGAACTCGGAGGGGGGTACGTCTGTAACGTTGGTGCCTTCCACAAATCTGTCCACCTCGTCACCCAACAGTCTAGACCCCCCAACAGCCTGAGAAGCAGAACCGCGTGCTATCAAACGGCGTCTGCTCCCGATGTGCTCATCCGCCTCCTCTCAGAGGATGTGCTCCTCCTCGCTCCCCCCTTCCACATCGTACTCCCCGTACTCCCCGTGCTTGTCTTCATCCTCCTCCTCAACCCCGGCCTTCCCTCTAGGATCCACGGTGCCTTGCACGAGCTGCTCCACTCGGTGCCACTGAAGTGGCCTGAGTTTCTTCACGTGCCCAAGCTGCCTGTCGTTGACTTTTGTTGACCTCTGTCATACCCTTCTTGTTCCCTGCTACTGCATGTGTGCTCATAATGGCAGTCTGACCAATGAGAGGGAAGAAAAACATGATGATGACCAGATGGTATCAGCGGTCGTCGATATGTGGGTGCTGAGCTTCTGGTGAGTTGGAGCTGAGCTTCTGGTGAGTTGGAGCTGAGCTTCTGGTGAGTTGGAGCTGAGCTTCTGGTGAGTTGGAGCTGAGCTTCTGGTGAGTTGGAGCTGAGCTTCTGGTGAGTTGGAGCTGAGCTTCTGGTGAGTTGGAGCTGAGCTTCTGGTGAGTTGGAGCTGAGCTTCTGGTGAGTTGGAGCTGAGCTTCTGGTGAGTTGGAGCTGAGCTTCTGGTGAGTTGGAGCTGAGCTTCTGGTGAGTTGGAGCTGAGCTTCTGGTGAGTTGGAGCTGAGCTTCTGGTGAGTTGGAGCTGAGCTTCTGGTGAGTTGGAGCTGAGCTTCTGGTGAGTTGGAGCTGAGCTTCTGGTGAGTTGGAGCTGAGCTTCTGGTGAGTTGGAGCTGAGATGAACTTGAGCTTTCAGTCCGCTAACTTTGAGCCTCTACCAATCTAACCTTGAGATTTTGCTGAGGTGACCTTTATCTTTTTGTGAGCTGACCTTTAGCTTTCAGTGAGCTGATCTAGACCTCTCAATCGCTGACCTTGATATTCTTGTTTGTCGACCCGCTGCTATTGCTGCTGCTGCTGCTGCTGCTGCTGCTGTGTTGGCATTGCCCTGCATGCATTTGACCGGTTCTCAACATTTCCCTCCCCTGTGTTGTGTTCTGCTTTCCTCCAGTAATCACCTGTATATACCACACGTGCCATCGTTCAGCAGCACAGCAGCAGCCGTGCTATTCAGGCATACCTGTACCCAGCCAACTCCCTATCCGCCCCCTCCTATCTGCAACCCCTTTTTCCCACTTCCCTCATCACTCCCCTCATCCCAGCTTCCCCCACCTCTGCCACCGGCTGCCTCTAACGCACCAGTCTTCATTCCCCTCCCTATGTGCTCCCTCGCCGTCCCATGTGTTCCTCCCCCTCCCATCTGTTCCCTCCCATCCCTTGAGTTTCCGGCCCTCCCCTGTGCTTCTTCTGGCCTCCCCACCTCCCTCCCAGTGACCGTCTGCTCATCACACACCTCTCCACATTCGGCGGCACAGCAGTGGGGCTGGCGGGCATAGACGGCCACTCCATGGCGATCACAGTCATGCGCGGCCTGGGCGTTGACTGGCGCAACTCCTCCGGCCCCGCGTGCGAGCCTGTCTCCTCCGAGCCCTGTGACCCCCTAGGCTCTATCGTCAAACTGGTGAGTTGCATCGGATGGGTGAGTTGCTTGCGCCTCCCAAAGAGGCGGTTGGTCTGAGCTGTCTGTGACTGAGTCTCCTCTGAGACATCTTCCTCCTGGGCAGCCCTGTCAAATGGATAAATGTTTGCTCTTTAGTTAATACAGATTGGCATGGGCTATCTTTGACTGGGTATCCCCTGAGGCATGTGCTCCCTAAACAACCCTATCAGATGGGTAAGTGTCTGCCCCTTAGTTGAAACAGACTGTCAGAAGCTGTCTGTGATTGGGCCTCCTTTGATCCATGTGCCCCTGGGCGGTCCTGTCAAATCGGTGAGTTTCTTTCAACCCACAACCACAGGGATCACAGGGGTGTGCCATCTGCTTTATGACCTTGGATCCCTTGGTGGGTGATGCCGGATGCATGCCTTTTACTGCTGATCACTCCCTCATCCCTTTCACCAATCGCCGCCCTAGGTTTGTTCCTTTTTTACATGCTTTGTTTCTCCTCTTTCTACGAAATACTTCCCACTCATATATATTCGTCCTTCAATATAGAACCATCTCTATGTTTGTGAGAGAGTCTTGTGTTGTAGGTTGTCAGATCTTTGTCACCAGTAGCGTCGAGTGTTTTGTGGGGTGCATTCATCTGTGCAGGCTGGGTGCAGGGATTTTCGCCGGTCCCGATTAAAACGGCGGTGGATGATGCCGCCAGGATTTGGTACTTGCCCGAGGATGGGGTTTGGTTTGCAAAACAATAATCCTCTCAAAAGGTAACTGTGTTGAAGCCCAAAGATGACTAATCTTTGTCGTAGAAATGTGTTTGGAGGAACATGTGGTACCATATGATATCCTTTTCGTGTTTCTCTTATTAGCCTGCGGTACCATAAGTGTTTCGTATAGGTCTGATTTATCGATCCCTGTGAGTTACATTGTACCTTGTTAACCTGGATGTTATAACCTGACTATGCAGTACCGTCATGCCCCGGATATGCCCCCAGGTGGGGGTATAAAAAAACCTGGAAAATTGGTTTGTGGGCTTATAATGTGGCATTGTTTATAACCCCATGGGGGAAATAAATGACACTTGGAGAATTATGATTTAAACATATAGAAATGTAGATCTCGTCCTTGCGGTTTCAATCGAGACTACCACAAGAATGTTTGCTTCGAAATTCTCCGAGAATGTGCCAACCTGGCAATAATCCCTGCTATCACGTGCTGAAATATTGCTAACACGTGCGCGCCTGTGGCAATTTCGCCAGGTGGGCCAGGTAAGATTTCGCCAGGCATGTCAGCGGCGATTGCTCCTGGCGCGTTAGTGGCGAATTCGCTAGAAAAACACAGATAGGAGTAAAAATTCATTGGGTGCGCTTATACGAAGATGATCCAAAATTAGGGTGGCCGTATAATCTTCAACCGGCTATAAGCCCACTGGTACGATTATAAGCGCATTGGTGTAACATAGGCCTGGGTGAATATCCGGGGTATGACGGTAGTTGGCGGTTGCTGTTTATAAGCGCAGGGTAATTTGTACCAGACTTATTATAAGGACGTGTGCACGCCCAAAATATCAGGATAGTTTCTGCCCATTTCGGCAACCGCTCTTTGGGAGTTTACCTTTTCCAAACACTGTAGATGGTTTGTTACCCTTTGTCAGATAACATGGTTAATTTGTTGGGCTCAAGAATAGCCTTGGGGTCTTTTAGGGTCTACTCTCGATAAAATGTTGTAGCAGACGTCTGTGAATTATTGTGCTAGTTGAATGAGAGAACAAGAATTGATAATAAAGAAATGGTACTAGGAGTATACACTCTAGCAAATTACCTATTCGGTGATGTACCTAATAGTGAATTGAGTTGACTCTTGAAGCGATACTTTCCTGTGTCACGCAAACAGTCACGAAACTGTTCGCGCTACTGCCTGTAAATCATGCGAAGAGATACCCGCCTTACTTACATGCACATATAATAGTACTTCGATACTACTGTAGTGATCGAACCACTGAATTCTAGAGTTCGAAGTTGTTTCTGGCGTGGCCGAGTCCAGTTAGCAGCATGCAGTACTGGAACTTCGGTCGAGGTAGTTGCTTGGTCAAGTAATCCGCAACCATTTCGCTAGTGGGGCAGTAAGCGAGTTGTAACTTGCCTTGCTCGATTTCGTTCTTGACGAAGAAATAGCGTAGCGAGATGTGTTTGGCTCGATTGGAGAAACCTGATTTTTTCGCGATGCGGATCGCAAAATGATTGTCGCACCAGAGTGAGAACTGTGACATATCCAGCAACTTCGCTTCATCGAGTAACTTCCAAAGGTAAAGTTCTATCTGCGGTGCAGGTAGCAGTGAACTCTGCCTCTACTGACAAAAGCACAATCAGCTCCAGCTTCCATGGCTGTCAGGAAATTGTGCCAACAGGCTCCAGACGGAAGATAAAATCCCGTTCGTGAGCACCTATTTGCAATATCACCCGCGTGAACTGCATTTACGTAGCCGAGTAGTGACAGCGGCGATTTCCGCAACTTGTGATAAGTTAGGCCAATCGTACGTGTGGATATGAAGTAGGCCTTTGCTGCTTCAAGTTCCTGTAAGTTTCTCCCCTTTAGGTTGCTTAAAGAATTGAGCGAGCTGGCTAGCGGAAAACGATAAGTCGGCCGGCAAGTGACGGCCGCGAATAAGAGGCTGTCAAGCAACTGCTGATAGCATGTAATTCCTGCAGCTGATAAGAACTCAGTGTCGGCTGATGAGTTAGAACGGTAAGGAGTAGAGGCTGTGGTTGTCGACAGAGGAAAGCATGTACGAAGCTTCTCCGCGTAGTTTTCTGTTGAGAGATGAATAGAGGCCGATGACTCGGCGATATTGAGGACGAGGTACTGCGTCACTATTGTAGAGATTGTCACTATGAGGTCCTTCTGCATCTCCCCTTCAAAGCGTGCTAGAAGATTTTTGGTGCTCCCGATGTAAGGTAGGTCGTCGACGTAGACGACAAGTAGCATGAATGTGTCAGAATATTATGCTCTAGCCTGTAGTGGGGTGCTCTATAGCGAGTACAACCCTTCTAGGGTTTGCTATTTGTATCCCCATTCTTACTAGTGCAACCCCTCCTTTGTTCATTTCTTGCTTGCCTAGCTAGGTCAACCCTAGCTATGGCTTCTCACTGTCCTTACTATCTTGACATGGTAACAGAGCGGTTACGCTCCTGTCCTGTGGGCCCACCACTTCACTGCTTCCGCTGCTACTGCTACTCCCTGTCCGCCGCG